CATCTACAGCCAGGTGAGTTCCAATTACCAATCCTCCTGCTCTGCGGAAATGCCATATAAAACCAATTTTGTGGCCCTCGCACCTGTTGAAGTTATGCCACTGCCTGCGAGCAGATTTAAAGAAGTTTCCATCACATTTCCTGACCAGAAACTCGGCTAAGAGGGAAGGGACTTTAATGCAACACGGAAATGCCAGAACGGAGCTCTGAAATTTGCCAAAAGCTCTCTTCATTTCCGCAAAAAATGCAAAGGCAAAGAGGATGTGAGGGGGGCGAAAGGTAAATAGGGAAATGTCTAAGGGACCCAAGTAAAAGTAAAAGTCCCAGACCAACAATGTGGATCTGGTAAAACGCTTTGGGGAAAAACTCCAGTCAACAGTTTGTTGCCACTGCCGCCTTGCTTTTCCTCACTTTCTAGTTCTTTGGCAAAAGTTTTGACAAAAATTTAATTAAATCCATGTCAAAGTCAGGACATAGAGAGAAAAAAAATGTAACCGGAAGAAAGTGCGTGCTTCAATGTCGAAAGGGCCACGAAGAGCAACAAGTCTTTACATTTTTCGCCAAAGCTCAGTTTGTTAGCAACTTAAAACTTAACCGAAATAAGCCGATTTGGTTTGAAAAACCTTTCCAATAGAAAGTTTATTCCGCATTCGGTAAATATTACATCATAAAATACATGCTTGTTGCCCTGGCAATCGGGGTCGCTTTGACTAAATAAATTTAAATTACATTTACGTGCTTCCTTTGCCATTCTGTGGCAGTCAAGGGGAATCACATACGAGCATCATGAATAAATAAATTTAATGCGTAAAAATAATTCAATTATAGGCACCACACATGTGCGTGTGGGGATCCTATCGCCCCGACTTTCCCCGACTTTCCTTTTCGTCCATTTAAAGGGAACCTCTTTGTGGTTGGAGCCCTCTGTTATAAATAAATTGCTCGAATATTTTTTCTGCCTGCTGGAGTCAGTTCATTGATTTTCATTGATTTTGCTTTTGATTTATTTTTACCGAAAGTAAGGAAAAAGGCTGCGATGGAAATACTCGTATTTTTGGTGGGCCGAGAAGGTAGCCTTAAATCGATTTGCATGTGTAAAAGAAAGGTATGCTCGTAAGGTTTTTTTAATCGAGTATTTCATGCTTAAATTAACTTTTCCTTTGATTTTCCGTTTTGGAGACCCACTTCTTAACCATAAATCACTCGAGCTGAATCAACAGGTTGCGGGAGTCAACCCCATTTTTCAACTTGGCCACCATTCAATTAACAATTGAATTTATATGTGTAACAGTGGGAATGAAGGAAAAGCGTTGAAAACAGTTGGGAAAGTCCCCCAAATCGATGAGCAGACATCCGAAAAGTCTCTCGTTTTCCGCTGCCAGCTGCAATTAAAAGGCAATGAATTCAGATCTTTCACTTCCCCCAACTCCGCCCACTTTCCACCCACCATTCCGCCCATTTGCCGGCAGAGAGGGGGCGTGGCCAGCTGTCGGCTGCCTTCGAAAGTGAGGAACACTTAAGTGAAATTGCACGCCAACAGCTGGCTTTAAGCGATGTCAGTTTCAAATTTTTTGGGGCTGCTTAATGTAATTTATTGATTTAAATGGCATCCGGGTATTTGCAAAATATTCTCCCTCCTTGAAATTGAAATTTCAATGAATCAACCGCCCTTTTTTCTTGTGTTCTTAAGTGTTCTTTATATTTTTGACAATTTATAAAGTATTGCAACATTTTCTTGGCAGAAGTACGTTGCTCAACCCGTTTTCTTTTTGCCTAATAAAATTATGAACATGTTAATTCCTGCCTCCCATTTAGCTGCCAATTAATAAATTTTCAAAAATTCCAAGTCCCTTCATTTTCCCCATTTTCTTCGCTTTTTCCCCTGCTGTGCTGCCCTAGATGTGTCTGGCATATTAATGAACATTTGTTTTCTTTGCCTGAAAATCGGGGGTGAAGAAAATTTATGTGCTCAGGTTAAATTCCTGGGATTCTTTTTGTCGTATTTCGTTGTTTGTTCAGTTCTGTTCATTTGTTAAATTAATTTATGTTTGTTGACTGTAAAATTTTTACAACATATTTTGCGTGAGAGTGAAGCAGGGGTGAAATAAAAATCACTTAACCCTTTTGATAAATGTGGAATTTATATATTTCTGACAAGAACTTAATGACAACTGTTGAGCAAGTGAAATAAAAGAATAGATTTTAGTTCTTTAGAATTATCTTAAGATCTATCCATTTAAAACTTAATTTTACGCTGTATTAAACTCGACATTTTCCACTTATTATGTTCCCGTTTCGGCCATATTTTCCGACCTGACCCACACATTGTCCGGAGACCAACTTCAATACCACCGCACACATGTGGCGCCATAAATATTCGACCAGGACACACCCACCTCCTGAACTTTGACCCAAATTTCGGAGCTCATTTGCATAGTCCTTCTCTTAAAAAACGAGCGAGAGGACACAAAAATAAAGTCCCTTAAAGTGAATTAAATATGAAATCTACTAAAATATTCAACTGAACAGAGAAACTCATATGGGAGGCCCCTTAACCCATTCATGCCTTGCTCTACAGAACCCAAGTGGGCAATCCAACAAAACAAAGAAAAGTGGGCAAAGCGGGACTCTAATTGTTATATGTTTATCCGCAAAGCAAACTATGACCGCATTAGGAAAGAGAAGGACCTACCCCAAATCTAGATATATCCGCATTTTTTTCTTGCCAGGATTTTCTCTTGTTTGAGTTTGTGTGCTGCTATATCCCTACAGTCCCGTTCCGAGTTGACTTTGGCAATTTTTTAATGTGCGCCAGGACTCTGGGCTCCGGACTCTGGTTCCCAAAATGTATTTCACTTCATTTTTTATTTATGTGTGTATGTGTGTGTGTGGCACCTCGTCTGTTGCTCCCTTCCCGGAAAAGGAAAAAGGTTTGCGTGCCAAATTATTGAGCCAGTGGCCTAAAGTTCTTTTTTGGTCCCCTTTTTTATTCCAACTGGCTCATTTATTTTCTGCTCTTTTTTTCGGCTCGCTTGGGGCAGCAGCCAAAACGCAAAGTGCGTTGTACTCCTTTCATATACATACATATATTTCGGTAGCTGACTGTCCAAAAAATATCGATTTTTGGACGGTCCAACGCGGCGTATGGGAAATGCCGGTGTTCGAGCGGAAAGAAAAAAGTTACTGGACAAATAACCGATAAAAATGTGATTAATGTGAGAGCAAAGCTACATTTCAAATGTAAATAAAATAAGAAGTGCTACCTTTCCAAAATGTCAATTAAATTCGGAATTTTTCATTAGCTTGAAACTTTCTATATAAAAGGATTCCACGATTTTTGTTCTTTTTTTCACTTTGTTATTTCCTCTCCTATTTCTCCGGTCATAAAGATCTTATGTCTTGAGTGCTGCAACTGCTGCTATATCATCTTAAGCTTAAGCGGATGCCCACACACTCTAAAGCATAAACTAGCTTTTCCTGCTTTTGCTCCACTTCTCACAAACTCAACTTTATCCTGGACAAAACATGGCACAATAAAAACGAGTTAGGGATCTCTAAACCATTTTAAACATTTAGTGCACCGCAGCGCCCAAAAAAAGGGAAGCTGCATATAAAGATAAAATATTTCATTTGCCCCTCTTCTTTTTTTCTATTTTTTGCTTTTTTTTTGCCAACGTTCAACGTTTGTAGACTTAATGCAATTGTCGCATTATTTCTCTTACTTCTCCGGCCACTTGGCGAAACGCTCTACAAAATGATATATACACAACGACACCCATATATAAAAATATATATATTTTTAAATACCTCACTCGAGTGTTTTTTTTCGGTGGCGGTTTTTGTTGTATTTTGGTTTTTATTTTGCCGCATGGCGTCTCGTCTGGCGTCTGCCACGGCGTCTGCAAATTCAGTAGAAAAGGGGGAAAATAGGGGCAAATAGGGGATAACGAAGGGGGTTCTCTCTCCTCTGGATGAAATAATGTTGTGTGTGTGTGCGTGTATGTGTTGCTTGTTTGGCTGCTGCCTCGGGTCTCTTGGTTATTAAGCCATTTTCATTCCCCACTTTTTGCTGCAAATCAAGCAAAGTGTTAAAAAAAATTAAATTAAATTAAAATTCTTGGACAGCGCAGAGCCATATCACATGTGCGCAAAGTTTTTTATTTTCCCAGGCTGGCATTTCCAGTTCAGTTGATGCATTTGCTTTTCATCCATTAGGTCTAAGAGTTCTTTGTTTTTTAGAACTCGGCATCAGCTTTTATAAATAAAATATTCAAGAATGGCTTAACAGAAAAGTATAACAAATGTTATTGTTCAAAATAGCTTGTTTCACATTCTGTGCCAAAAACACTACCATGTCGCATTAGTTTCTGTCCTTTTTCTGGCAGCCACTAATTGAACAACTAAGACCACTCACTTTTCCCTCCGCTGACCGAAAAAGTAAACTCGACAAAACTCTTATTTGCCTGCCAAGCGACCAACAATTGCATTAATTATGCGTGTAGTGAAATCTTTTCGGGAGTGAAAATGCTGGCAGAAAAGGGATGGAAAACTGCTGCCAAAAAGGGGGAGGAATCGGGAAGGGAAATTTGAGCACTGCACTGTGGTGACAACAGCAATTCATCTTTGATGGCGAATCCCGGCCAAACTCATGAACACTCAGACTCCGGAGACAATTTGTGCGTGCAAAATCTGGGAACTCATTTCTTTGTTTTGCCCTCGCAGTGTGGTTGCCTATCCAATAAGTCTTTGGTGGAGTCCGAGGGATGGGGAATCAGCAGGAGGGGCCCACTCCCGGGAAGAGGAGCAAATGCTAATCTTGATAAAAATAAACGCACTCGGGCACGTTGCTACACGAAAAGAAATTCATCGGAGAAAAGGAAAAAACTTATTATAACATAAGATCTAAATTGCTAGCGCATAAATGTTAATAAATTATATAACTTAAAATTTGTTGATTAAATTTTTGAGACCTCTAAAGGTTTATTTAATAGTTTTAAATGTGTGGAATAAAAATCTTATATTTTTATTTTGCCTTATGAAATATTTAAATTTTACATAGGTTCAATGTAATCAAACTGGTTTGCATTCTGGGATTTCGAATAGCTTTTTAGTCCAAAAAATCTTATATTTATTAATTCAATTTATAATTAATTTTGTTAGTTACTTAATGTTTTCCACCTACAAATACTTTTCTGTGTACCGGCGTGCGAGGAGTGGTAAGACGGCATCTCACGTTTTTCGTCGCATTTTCAATTTGCTTGGCATTTGCCTTTTCCCTGGCCATTGTCAGTCAGAAAGCCCCTCGCCCCCTCGCTCCCTCGACGTCCTTTTCCCCGACTAAGTGAATATTAATATTGACTTTGTGTGCTCCTCGCATAGTTCACAAAAGTTTTTCACCTTTGATTGCTCGACTCGCTTTGCAGCTTCCTTTGAACATTTCCCTACTTGTTCTGCTTTTGGTGGCTGCTGCTCCAGCTGGCGAACCCTGACCTCACCTCAAATCCACCCAGATTCCCGCGACCCCTCGATTGCCATTTGTGGCCTTTAAAGTCAATGGCATGCTCAGCGGTTCTTTTCCCGGAAAATTTATGTGCAAACTTTATGCGTGGCGCACTGAGTCCTTGCTTTTTCCGTTTCTCGTGGAGCTCTCGCTATTTCTATTATCAGGTTTTGTTGCTCGGCTCTGGTGGCGTTTTTTTTTTTTGCTACGTAGCTCCTCTTCCCGTTTTGACATTATTCTCCCATTTTTATGGCATTTAAGTTCAAATGGGGAACGTGGGATAAGGATACGGCACCCTCGATTCGGGTGTCACTCCTGGAGAATTTTCCCAGGAAACAAGCTTGCCTACCTGAACCAGAAAAGAAAAAAACCAGACTCCAACAATGTCAATATAATTAAATGAAGCTTATAAAACTGAAGAGGATGGGAATTTGGGAGGAGGTGGGAGGAGTGTCTTGGGAGGCGCATACAACTTTGTTGATTGGATTTTTGGTTTAGCTGCAGTCATAAACTGAATGAATATGGTGGAAATTGGTAGTAGGAGCAAAAACCATGAGAAAGACAAGCCTAAATGAGATGAGAAAGTCCGTAAAGGCAAATCTTAGATTAAGGCTAGCTTAAAGCTGTGATCCTTAAGAAGAATTCTAGTCATGCTACACAAATATTATGATTGAAAATGTGATGAAAGTTTTCTCGAAGAAAACTTATTCAGGTGGAAATAAAAATGTAAGCAAAGAAAACCAAAATTGCACCACTCCCTCTTTTTTTATTGATTGCACTTTCCTTCGGTTCTCTGACAAGGTTAGTTAGCCGTCATTTAATTAACCCATTAAAGGCAGCCCGCTTCGATCTCTTTGGCTTGCAGTGAAAAGCGAGCACCAAAAGTGCAGGCCGCAAACTTTCGACTTGTTGGCCTTTGACAGGACCCGAAAACATTTCCAACAATCAACTGCCTGCCCCCAAGTTTGCTTTCAAAATATTTGCCACAATGAAATCATGCCTGTTTGTGTGTGGAACCTACCCTCCCCCCTCCCCATTTCCCTGCCACCCCTTCCACTTATATAGGCCTCCGCCCGTGGCTCAAACAGTTTTTTTTCGGTGGCAAGGGAGGAATCGCAGGGGGTTCAAAGTTGAGTTCGCTTGGCGTGCGAAAGTTTATTAAAAACTTTGTGTGCTTTTTGCAAACAAACACAAACACACTCCCTCTACCGCACACACAAACGTTCGCTGGGGTTTTTTTTTTGTTTTTTTTTGTATTTTTGCTAAAGGAAGAAAACAACAAGAGCAACTGCCATGTGAAACTTAATAATTCACACGGGAGTGAATTTTTCACAATTTTCACTTTTTTCCCACCGAGGAGGTGGGTTCTTTTTTGCCAATTTTATTGAAGCGTAAAATATGAACCAGAACCACAAACTGAATGAATGAATGAATGAATGGTTGGGCGAGGGGGGAAATTCTCTCTGTGAGCTTTTAACTTTTGTTGACATTATGAAACCTCAAAAGTTTGCGTTTTGCTCTTTATTATTTGTTTTACAGCTAGTTAAGGCCATTGTATCCACTGTGTGTCTGTGTGTGTGTGCGCGCTTAGTGGGCCAAAAAGGGGGCAAAAAGGGGGTTCTGTTCGGCTTCTTCTCAGTCCATTGTCTGTGCCTTTGTATGCAAATCAGAGTCTGAAAGACAGACACTCCGAAGTGGAATTGAATAGCCAACGAGCCCCTTTCCATTCGCTAATTGTTAATTACTTAATTGAGTGTTGCCGCTGGGCAAATATGCAACTTAAGTCGTCCATACGCGATTAGTTTCAGTGCAACACAAATAATATTATTCGATTGTAAACCAACCCGGAAAATTGGCTTTTGACATAATTTGAAATTTTACAAATCAGTATCTTCATTGTTGCAATTTATTCACTTAAAACCATTGACTCATCAAGTAAGATTTATGCTTTAGTAAGCCTTCAAACGAAATTAAATTAAATTCAAGCTCAATTTAAGGCATCAACTTTAAACAGTTTTTTGGCCAAAAATTGAAGCACACTTTCGAAGGCTTTTTATGAATATGCATACAGAATTCCATTAGAAAAGTCCTTCTTACTTTTTTTCTGCCCGAGGTGGGAGCTCATCATGGCCATAACTATTAGACGGTCCGACTGCATTATGCAAAACTTATAAACCATAAAATGCAGCCGACTGGGCCTAACCTGCCACCTCGCCCCCTTCCCTTCGTCCTGTCTGGTAAGTCAGCAACTTTCGAATGCAAAGTTGTCAGCACAAAAGTTAACGCCGAGAGACCTGGCCCTCTTTCTCCTGCATTACGGTTCTGTGTCTACGTCTCGACTTTTATGAAATATTAGCTTCCAACTTATGCACATAAATCTTGCACTGTCGTAGGGAGACTCCTCTGCCGCAAAACTTTTTCGTGAATTCAACGTAAAAAATACCAAAGAATAGAAAACCATCCCAAAAAGGTGCGAAAAGAATGGGGCAGCCGTTGAGTCCTTTTAAATATCCTATTTCAAACTGGAAAGTATCTTCATTAAAATATACGCTAATTTGCACTGCAAGTGACCAAGTTACTTTCGTTGGGGGAATCCCTAGACATTCGTGAAGTTGAGGGTGGAAGATGCGGTTTTAAGTAAAGTTTAGATTCATTAAAAATACAGTATAACTTATAACCCAAAGTAGAAAGGGTAATAATTACTTTACAAGTGGGTTTGGGTTAGTTTACACCCATTATCTGATAACGTATTGCGTTATTAATAATGCAATTAAATCATTGATGGCCATAAAAAAGGAAATTAATTTCCATTATCAACCCATTGATTTTATACCATGTATAATTATTTATTTAGCAAAGTTCTTTGGAGCTAGAAAGCTTTGATTTAATCTGTTTAAAGTGCTTAGACCAGTTTTCCCTTTCGGTATTTTTGCAGAGCCCCTTCAGTTGCCAAGATGTCGGACAACAAGCGGTGCTAACATCCTCGCACCACAGACTGGTCAGCAAATAATTATCGAGCCGAGAGGAAGCACCCACAAGTAGTCAACACGAAATGGCTGACCACACAAGAGCAACCACAACAGCAAGGAGTAAACCATGGCTGAGTGCGGGTGGGGCCATTCCCGTGCTGCTGCTCCTGCTGGTCCTTGGGATCCTGCCCCTGGACACCCTGGCCTTCTGCCCCTCGAAGTGCCAGTGTTTGGGGGGCGAGGCCAACAGCCGGGCGTTGTGTGTGGACGCAGCTTTGGAGGGTGTGCCCATCCAACTGAATCCGGAGACGAAGTACATCAACCTCACGGTGAATCGGATACGCAACTTGGAGTTCTCGCTGCCCTTCTACATGAAGCTGGAGATCCTCGATCTCTCGCAGAACATCATCGAAACATTGGGCTCGAAGAACTTCGAGTATCAATCTGAGCTGAGAACTCTGAATCTGAGCAGGAATTTGGTCAGTTCGCTGCACAAACACGCCTTCAAAGGACTGACCAACCTTTTGCTGCTGGATCTCAGCTTCAATCGCATCGAGACAGTGCATCCCACCGCCCTCAGTGATCTGGCTTCCCTGGTGGAACTGGATCTCACGAACAACAATATTGTCAGCTTGGAGGATAACTCCTTCAAGGGAATGAGCACCTTGGAGGTCCTGGTCTTCCGGAACAATCGACTGCTCGACGTTCCGGCGAGCAATCTGTGGCACCTTCATGCCCTAAAAAGTCTGGATATGTCATTGAATCTAGTTGAGTTTGTGCGAAACGACAGTTTCGAGGGCTTGAAGGAGCTGTTGGCACTCAGCTTGCAGGGAAATGTGATGAGCGAGCTGGACTTGAGTGCCTTCGAGGGACTCATTTCGCTAAAGCATCTAGATCTGGCCGATAATAATCTTACGGTAAGTTTAATTAATTTTAATAATTGTGGGAAACATTTATTGGACAATACAATAAACTATTAGGTCATTGATCTAGCTAGACTTGTTTGACCAAATATAACCTTAATAATTTCTTAAACTATTAGTTATTTTCAATTATTCAAATTTATTTTACTTAAACAAATCCTTTAGTAAATCAAGAAATCACTTTTCTTAACGAAAACCAAGTGTAAACTCGTACAAATATTTTCTAGCCTTAGCCACAGAGACCTTGCATTGCTGGGCCCATAAATTTAGACACTTTGCCAGGACGAAATCCTGTGAGCAACACTTTGCCAAAGCGGATTTCCCAGCCCCACAAGGCGCCCGTCCAAGTTCGTCCTTCCTGGAGTTTAGCTGCATTTTTCATACGCAAAATTAATAACCATAACTCGTTGTTGCCGTCCGTTCTCACACACTCACATATACACACATACTCATGTGAGGCTAGGATACACGCACTCGGCACTCGAGTCCTTCTGCCAGCCATGTCCTTTCTGCTATTTATGCATGCAAACATGTCCGTGTTGCCTGATTTTTGCTGCCTCCTTCGCCGCTGTGGGTGTTGTTGCACACTCTTTGCTCGGGCCCTCGGCCATTTGGCCAGCGTTTCTCCGGGTTTTGTTAAATGCCGCCCGCCTTTCAGCCTTTTCCCCCAATCAGGCGGCGACATACTCGTTTCCCAGCAACTGAGCCAGCTTAAAGCTGCCTAAAACTCCACGAGCAGGCAATTGGGCAAAAATTGTGAACTTAAATCGGTCGAAATTAAGATATATGTGCTTGAAAATAAGATGTGGAGGGGGAATAAGATGTAGTCTCGAATTCAAGTGCTTAAATTGCAAAAAGGATATGGTTAAAAAGGGAAAATTTCGATATAGCATAGTCAGCACAAAAATTAAAGCGAATCAAAACCAAGTTGTGTTTGTATTAAAGACCTTTAAAATGGTGAAAACTAATGATGGCTTACGATTTTGTTTATTAATACAATGCATAGCCAAAAGCTGGCATGAAAGTCAATGGTATCATGTTATTTATAACCACCAATATGACCAATAGGAAATCATCGAAGCTGCGGTTCATTTCCAGCCCTTACCAACGTCTTTAAATTGACCGAACCGAATCATTAGGACACAGAGGTTGCATGTGAACCCGTCAGAGGAGCGGAACTCCGGAACAGCACGGAGGAATGCGTTTTTATGTAATCACAGGCACGGGAAAAAAATTATAGTTTTTAAAAGTATGTTCTTGGCTTAGCAATATTTTTTTGAATTAACGAACCAATCAAGTTCCGATATTTTAGCGATATGCAAAGGGCAAAAACAACAACTCACGATAAAAAATCTATAGTTTTTTATGTAAAACCTTTGGAAATTTTCCGCTGTGCAGTTGCAACAGAAAAAGCCTGTTTATGCAAACTGACGGATGCAATGCAACCTGGACTCCAGATCGTCTCCTTTTGGTCCTGTGGCTGGGTACCTGTAAACGTATATACTTTTGGTCGTTAGGATGGGATAAAGTGTGTGTATGTGTGTGTGTGGCTCTGGGTGTCCTGTCTGATGGCTAAAAAGGACTTTCTAAGCAGGTGCAGCAGCGGCAACCACGCGTAGTCAACGGCAACTGTCGGTGCGGAGGAATTTATGGCGCTCGGAATCAGTTCGAAACTACTTAAAATACCTTTTGGCATTTTGTAGTTGAAATACGGTCGGTCTGCCACCCACAATTCCTCCACCTTCCACCAGCCAGCTTTATTCCTGGTTTCCCGAGGAGGTCCCGGAATAAACCGCCTGCTGCAAACCTGTTCCGGTATTTTCAAATGGCATTCTTTTTCCTATTGGACAGATTGTTGTTTTATTATGCACAGAGAATATATATCCCCCGTCAGACATTCTGCCCCATTTTGGCATGCGGCTAGTGCATGAAATTGTTGTCTGCATCTGCATAGTTTTGTGGAAAACAAAGCGGGGTCGAAGGGCACTAGTGCGATGGCATTATGTCTGGAGTCTGGAACAACTCATGGAGCATGTAAATGTATAAGTTGAATATGATTTATGAAGTGCGTTGAGTTACCAGCTTAAACAGTGCCGCTTTTACTTACAAGGCAATAAGAACTGCTTTATACTTATTGCTAAAACTGCATGTTTTTTTTAAAAAGAGGGTTTACCAGGTGTCTTGCTTTAACTTTATTTAAACACAGAGACTGACACTTTCAATTATATTAGTCTTTAAAGAGTTAGTTCTAAAAATGACTACAATTTGACCCAGTACTATGTTTTAATAAAAAAAAGGGTGCATATATACAAAAATAAACTACTAAGAGTCTTAATGTAAATAATCAAAAACCAAAATTTTTCCCCAATGGTGATGGTAATTCAATTATTTTGCTCAATTTAAAATTCACAAAAAGCGAAATCAGAATAAAGTTAATAATAAAAGTAAATATTTCCTACTGATTATCCAAATATTCCATATTTGCTGTTTATCCAGCAGTGGATTTCCATTTTCCGTTTGAATCGATTTAGTCTGTCTTTAACCCCCTTTATTTCTGTTCAATAAAATTCATTTGATTTGAACAACACAATAACTTATGCACAATTATACATTTTCACAATTCAACAAAAATATGGGATTGAAAGGTGTGTAGCTTCTGTTTGGGGTTATGATTTTGCATTATAAGTATAAATATTCACAAACACTATTGCACTCAACTTTCAGATTGAACGAAATAATTGCAAAAATATTCGAGAACAAATTCGCATAAAGTTTCAATAAAACTGATTTCGCTTATATTTTTGTTGCGAGCGCATATCAAAATGTATTTATTTATTTTTTTTTATTCCTTTTTGTTTGTATTTTGTGCATAAATTTTGCGTGTGGTTGCACAACAGCAAAATCGCTTTCCTGGAAACTTTATGTTTTTTCGTCTGAGAACTTTCACAGGTGTGGGTGGCAAAAATTTGAATATTTTTAGAATGTGGATTAATATTTCGGTAAATCAAAATTTACTTGCTTTTGTGCTACTTGATTTAACTGCGTTAAAAGTTTCCTCGCAATTAGCTGGCTTTCATTTACACATCACTAATACTTTTCTCTGCAGTAACTTGCTCGCAAGTAAGAGGAAATAGAAAATTAAATTGAAAAATCAAAGTCAATATAATTTCACTTTTATTGCTGGGTTATTTCCAACTCTTTCCTTTTGCACTCTTTGCACTCTCGCCTTTTTTCACGCTGCTCTGCGCTCAGAATTTTCTGGAAAAGGGAAGCAGAGAGGGAAAGCCTTTTAATTAGTCCAGCAGTCGCTGGTTTTCCTTTGAGTGCAGTGCCAACATGAAAACACCCACACAGAAATGAGGGGAAAAAGCAGGGGGTTGCAGTATAAATAATGGGGGCTAAAAAAGTGTTGCCATTTGGTTAAACAATTGCCCGGTATGGCCTACATTGCGTATGCGTAATGCCTTTTAATTTTCAACCATTCTCGCCGCCTTATGAGCTTTTGGCCAGCATTTGAATTCATTTGCCACACACTTGGCACTCTGCTTTTCCTTTCCTTTCCTTGCTCTCCCCCTTTTTCCCCATTTTTGTACCGCTTTTCCCTGTGTTTTCCCCCCATCCAGAAGTTCATTACGTTATCGCGAAGTGTGTTCGTGTCCGGACGCCTGGCACGTAGCTTCCGACACGCTAAGGGAGGGGAAAACTCGGGAAATTCGGGAAAAGAACCAGAAAGGAGAAAAAGGGGAGAGAGGGCGAAAGGCGAAGAAGGGGGGACAAATGACGAATAAGGGGTGGTGAGGAAGGTGAACACAAGTGGCAGCCAAAATTACAGCCAAAAGCTTTTGGCCTTCGCCTCCCGATAAAAAAGGAAACCTCTTCTTTTATGCATGCCACACTCTCCCCGAAGCTGTCTCAGTAGTTGTAACAAATTCGTTGCAAGATTGATTTTATTGCCTCCCGAAAAGGGAAAAACACAGACGAATTTGCTGGGCAGCGAGTGATGGAACACAAAAAAAAGGGGAAAAAACGGAAAGTACATGACGCGCGTTTCCGTTTCCGCTGCAGTCCTTTAAGCAACGCTTTTCTATTGATTCGCTTTTTTACTGTTCAGTGCTAATCTTTTTTTTGTGTGTCGAAGGACAGCTCTTTCTACCGCAAAACGTTTTTAAAGTTGAGTGGCTTGCATTAATATTAGATGGGAACCAGAAGGGGCAAAGTTTTCATTTTTGTTTTGAATGCTCTCTAAATAAAATGCTACTTTTTTGGCTTTTTTCATTGCAGATGGTCCCCACCCAGCAGCTCTCGAAACTTTCGAACCTCACCTATTTGAACCTGGGTGGAAATCGCTTTTCCAACCTGCCCGCCGTCGCCTTCCTCAACTTGTTTCATTTACGCGAATTGCATTTGAGCCGGCTGGACTATTTGCAGCGCATCGATTCGAGGTAAGTTCTCGGCCAAAACTCTTTCCAAAAAACTCAACTTAGTGATCCCAAGTGCAAGTGAAAGTGGGTCAAATGAAAACGAAACTATTTCTGACTTAGAACGTATGAACAACAAACAAAACACCAGTTTTAGATTCTGTTTAAAAGTTAAATAACTTTTGGCAGATTGTGCTCTTTTTTGTTAACGTACATCAAAAATTTCTTGAAGTTCTCATTAAAATTGACTAAAAAACTCTTAATAATCTAAAAAAAAATTATGTCCGAATGGTAAACACCGAAGTATTTACTTTCACCTATAGCCTATAGCTACATATAAATATTTAATAGATAAGCTTATGAAATCCTCTAATCATAGGAATTCCCTGAAGTTCTCATTAAAATTGACTAAAACACTTAATAATCTAAATTAATGATGTTCGAATGGTAACCAGCGAAGTAATTACTTTCACCTATAGCCTATAGCTACATATAAATATTTAACAGATAAGCTTATAAAAATTTTCTAATCAGAGGAAATTAAATTTGATTTAAAAAAAAAAAAAACATTAAAAGATTTGACTGTCTGGGATCAGTTGACCCCTTATTTAAATTGCACAATTTTTTTTATGTTCTGATTTTTTTTTTTTTTTTTTTTTTTATAATTATAATTTTATAATTCGAATTTCTTGGAAATTTTAAGAAAATAAAAGCCTGTTTCAGCGGCGTAACTCAGACTCTATCCATTTCCCTTGGCTTTGAACATTTGTAAGCAAAAATATACCATTTTTAGCAAGACTTAACATGCCAACGAAAAGATATTTTTCGGAGCCATAGATCGTTTGAAATGTACCTACAACAGAGCCAGGTCTATCATAAGGGTCAAAGCCCTTTGGTTCTTTCACACAAATCTGATTAGGTCCTATAGTCATTCCAGTCTTCATTGAGCATTGGTAATCTTCGACCTTCTCGAGGGATTCAATTTGAGTACCCAAAATAGTGTTGTCCTGACTGTAAAGGAAAGCATTCAAATTCGTTGGGGGACCAGTGTTTAACCCGAAGCAGATTGGTTTTACGAGATCTGGAATGAAAAGATTCGGTTACCATGATGAAGTGATCACAGCTAGAATATAGTTACCTGAGTTAGGGACTTCCCTAGATAGTTTTACCACAGCTATGTTATTTTTCATGAATTGGGATGTAAGGGTATAGTTAGGGTGCCTGTGGACCCAATCTACATCGAAGCTGCCCAGATATTTGGTCTCAACAGTTCTTCATTTTAAATTAAAAATAAACATATTTATTAATATTTTTTGTTTCTTATTAACTGTAATACTTACATTTTAGAGATTTTTGGGGGAAAGGCACTTGCAACAGTCAAGACAAATCCTAGTAAATTTAGAGCAGAATTTCTTAGAGGATCACTTCTATTGACGATTAAAAAACAATAAATCACTTACTGTTTGTGATTAGGGCGCCAGTGAAAGTGTGCTCTAAAAGTGACATCTCCCAAAGGCGCAGGTAAACTCCATTACCCCAATCGCTCTTGCAGTTCTCAGTCAAAAGTCTGGGCTCGTTTTCAAACACGGTAGAAACTATGAAGTCTCTGTAGGCAAGTACATCCGTATAGGCGCCATATCCATCGCAATCCCCAGATCCATAGCTGATTATCCCAAACTGCACAAATTTGTTCGTTCCGTTGTAGTTATAAACCGCAGCCAGTGGACCGCCAGAGTCTCCTTTACATGTGTCTTTTTTATCGGTACGGCCTGCACAGATCTTTTTCACACCATCAGAATTGCATTTAGAGTGGTCCATTTCATTAAATAGAGTGAGCCATTTTAGTTTATCGCTTAACTGCCTGGTTTCCGTCAATCCCCATCCGAAAACCGAGAATTGGTTCACTGACTTGGATGAAACACCCTCGTCCAAGATTATACAAATTGGCTTTATGTAATCTGTGGAATGAAGTAGATTAGAGGTTCGCTTCAGCGGTATTTCCCTTTGTTTTGATTAGCTTACTATTGGATATTACATCACGGTCCAGTCGCAATAACGCTATATCGTAGTGATATGCTTGTTCGTTATAATTTGGATGATAAATAACCTCGGCCACATTACGACGCTCCACGTGTGTGCAATGCGATGCCGAGCACATTAGGTCGTATTCTCCTACATGCACGGTTCTAAAATAGTTTAAATATGAGTCTCGAATGTCCAACTTCGGTACTTAGTACTTACCTAACGTCTCCAAATTTTGGACAGTGTGCAGCTGTTAGAACAAAGCCTAAATATATAAAGTTTATTAACTAATTCTTGCATATAGGTATTTTCCGATCTCACTTTTGTGAATAAGCGTTGCGCCGCATACGAAGTGGGTAAGATTGTGCAGGCTAGCCATCCATGTAGTGGTGGTCGGGTTAGCTAACTGTGCACCGACCATTCTTAACTCTACTGGCGTTTTACCGGAACAATTTTCATCCAATAGCCGAGCGTTTGCATATTGACAGAGCGCCAACGCGATTAGAACGATAAGAACGACAAGTTCGCGCATCTTTTCGATTCGGTAGTCAGCGATCGACTAAATAGCACTAAGAAAACAGCCAGCGAAGTCGAATTTATCAGGAATCGCTGTGGCTTTTGACGTCCGCAGAGATGAATATAGTATAATATGTACTCTCTATCAGCTTAAGCAAGAGAGGCTGTTATCGACCTGTGAGTGGCAAACGTTTTCAAGTCTTGTTGGTTTTTTTTTTTGGTTTTTCAATTTTATTTGATTAGTCATTTTCAAAATTTTACTTCACTCATTTGACTTATATACTGATAAGCAGGGCTAACAGAGTTATGTTCTTAAAAACGTAAAAATATGTTTGGATTTATGGACGAAAAAATAGAGATATATGGACGAAATATGGACGAAAAAGTTGACAAATATGGAATAAAATGGATAAATATGGATAAATATTTGTAGTATAGACGCAAAAAGGGACGATTATATCGATCACATTAACTTTTTATGACAATGAACAATTAGAAATCGCTAGATTTGTCTCAAAGATCATTGCAGAACAATATGACATGTTGTGTCAGATTAGTAAAAACAAAACTACGGCGTTTGTCACTCAATATGTGTTTATATGAAGAAAATGAACGCTCAACATCGCAAGATGTAACAGGAGCATTTGCATATGCATTCAGTTCAGCAGGTGATAAATTCAGGATAAGATCGTCACCTTCTGTAGAACTATCAACTGAATCTTAAAATATAAACTGCATCATAATTGTTACATTCGATAATACATATTTTGATTGATGTTTTGTTTACATCATTTATTATCGAGTATAAGGCAAACGACAGAAATTTTATAATTTTTGAGCCAAACATATCTTTCTAAAGGTTTTCAGACACTTTAATGCTCAAAATATGCATTTATTCAAGTGATTGAGTAAAATATGGATTTATAGGAAAAAAGGCGAAAATATGGAAATAAATATTTTTTCATTTAAAAACATAACTCTGTTAGCCCTGCTGATAAGCTACCACTTGTCTGTACCAGATGATTCATACTAAAGTACACTCTATTATTTGTGATCGCCCTAGGAAAACACTATTTCCAAACTTCAAACCGATATTGAAATCCTCTTTGTAAGTTTGGAAAATTAATTTTTGCGTGTACTCAGCTACACAGGCAAGGAGCAGACAAATCATTATTGCTCAATGCAATCAATCATGCCTAATACGCTTTTGGTAATAAGATGCCACCACACAAGCGCCCTCAACGAAAGGGGCGGCATGGGGGCGTGCCAGGGGAAGGGGGGGAATGCTTTAGCTCAACTCGAGCATATGTTAATTCAATAATTCCGGGCAATTTTCATATCAAATCGATGAACGAGTCGGCACAGCACAGCCTCCCTTTGAGTTGGCCATGTCAATCAACCACCGACAGCAGAAGGTATGTGGCTATGTGGCAGCACAGTCGCACCGCCAGTAACAGCAGCCATATGCCACGCCCCCTTGGGCGACATGCCGCTTTACAATGACATTAACATGACTTACATGACAAGCGATGAGCGGGCGGTGGGCGGGGCTCTTCCTCGAAGGAAAGGGAAAGCAGACGGCATCGTTCGCCATTTAAATGAGTTTCATTTGGAATTTTCGTTTGATTTTCTTGGCCCAACTTTGGTTGAGGCTTATCCGCCCTGCAACCCCATTTTCCGACCATTTTCCACACCCCTCCGTTGGCCTTTGTAATTGCTTTTGCGTTTTGCTTGGCTTTTGTTTGGTCTCTGTCTCAGTCTTGTGCAAACTTTCCCCTCAACGTTGTTCGCAGTCTGTTGAAATTGTTGCTCGATCTGCACAAACACATTTGCATACGAGTTTATGTATGTACGGGGATATATAAATATGTGCCTGTCTGTGTTGACTGATTTACAAACTTAATTCAGGTTTGCCTTGACTGGCTGACGCACAAAAGAGATCTCGAAATCGCTGGATTTCTCTTCCTTATGCTAATTTTGTGGAATTTGTGTTGGCATGTTTACAAGGAAAATACCTTCAAACTATTACACCCCAGAAAATTTCAGTTATATGTAATGGCTTACCCAAAAAAAACAAGAATATGAAATTTATTCCTAACTTGTAGGAACCGATTTAAAATCAAACTTACTTTCTTACTTGCTTGACTGATTTTCCTGCTTAATCCAATTATCTTTCCTCGACTTGCCAATATATTTCCGAATAGGATAGAAAAGACAAGTTCAAGTACAGTTCATTTGCTGGAAAAAACCAACTTGAAGAATAAAAGGGGTGCCAGACAATTTGCTACCTTGTTTTCCTTAAAGAAAATAGCGAAGAATTTTAAAGTTAGGGGAGATGGCGCCTCAAGGACAGAGAAAGACATATATGTGTGTAAATATTTATGCAAATGCGTTAATGGAAATCTGAAATGCGGATGTGTTGGCCGGGGAAAAGGACGAGCAGCGATGGCGACACGTTGATAGTCAAGTTTATGGGGCGACAGGATACATTTCCCCAAAACGCCGTGTGTGTTTTCCCGTTCCCCTCCAGATTGCTGCTCATTACGGAATCCTTACACCTAAACAATCAGCGCGAGTCCCTGCTAAATTCATTAGGCAGCAGCACGTTGTCCACCCACTTTCACCCCATTCACCCCTTCCACCCCCTTTTAAAAACAAACAACCCTTCGAGGCAGGAGCTTCAGAGTTTTGGAGAGGTGGCGAATATCAAAGGGAATGCAAAAGTGAACATGACTTAATAGCAGAAAGTCAGTCGGGAAAAAGGACGGTAGGTGTAGCCCGGTTTATTTGGTTGTGGATTTCAAAATTGAAACTAATTGTTTTAAAATTTATGTAGCGGTGGCTGGAGGGGCATGTGTGACATTTGTTTTGTGGCAGCTTTGGGGTTGCTGCTCCCCAATTTTTGGGGGTACAGACAAACTGCCTTGACTGGGCTCTGAATTCTGATGAGGATGGATGCCAGAGTTGAATGCCACAATTGGGAATTCAATTCGAGTGTAATGGACTGTGCTGACTGTAATGGGTTAAAAATTAAGTCATGGAGGATGAAAAGGCTGAAGGACGAAGACCAAAATGTAACATTATGTGACTTACTTTTGTCTTCGGTTTATACGAAGGTTGTTTTAGTTTGTTTGTCTGTCACGAAAATATTGTTGTTTTAACATATTGAATAATAAAAACGATTTGTTGTTTTTATCTAATAACTCATATATATATAAAAGTGTTCTCGCTTTATTTTTTACATTTATTGTGATTCTAACACAAGTTTATTTAAATGGTAGGTCCAGCTTACTGCCGCAATTTCTTTGAATAAATTAGGAATGTAAAGAAAACTTTCAGGAAAATGGAAAATTTTTGTTCCTAATTCTATAAAATATGATTTGCTTATTAAGTAAATTGCTTATTTTAGTAAACAGCTCCAATTATCTTCTTCATTAACTTTATTCGCCCAGCTCGTAATGTATTCCGTCCAATTTCTTGGTAATTGCCACTTGTCTTGTTTTTCATTTAAACAGAATCACTTAAAAAGCGCTGCTAATTAAGTTGGTTACTCTGGCAGGAGTTCTGCCCCACCTTTCATTATTCTCACCTGTAGCGAATGCTGCGAATTGTTGCTGCTGCCGTCTCATTATGCCAAAGTTTAGCTTTATTTAAATTCAGCTCTCGCCGTTTTGGCCCGTCAAATTCAAGTGCAGCAGAGGGTTTTTTGGGTGGAGGGTAGAACATGCATATGCATAAATAGACAGGCTTAAACATTGGTAGTCCTGCCGTTACTGGCAAATACGCATAATAGCTACTCTCGGCTTGAGTTGCGACTGCTGCCGCCTTGAAATATTTCCCAGCTCATAATTTATGGAGAATTATGGCCGGGGTCGCAACATGTTTATGTTTTCCTGTTTCCGTAATTTCTTCCTGCCTTCATTTCGTCTTTTCTTCGCATTTTTTGTTGTTTGTATTTTATTTTTTATTTTTTTTTGTTAGCCCTCCGTCACGCGGGGAAAATATGCATTGCATACTGTTGTGAGCAGCAAATGAAAGGAGGAAAACTGAGCGAAGGTCCCAGCATTTTGACTCGGCCCTTTGTTTGTGTTTACCCTGCTCTTGTTTATTAAGATTCAGCCGCTGTTGTTGGCTCATTAAGCTGACATATTTCTTCTTGACGCTTTGTTTAATCAGCGCTCAGCACAGGGAAAAAAAGAAAGTCCTGCAAATGGCAGTCATTGACTTTACGGTTTATAATCGTATTGAGAGCCCCATTTAATGACCACTCTAAGCACTCACTCGTTGACCTCTTGTCTTTCAATGGGAAACATTGCAAATGTCGCCGGCATTAAAAACGCGTCAGAAAAGTGGCCAAGAGCACAAGCTTAATAACCTCTCTACATATTTTCTACGCATTTGAGAGTATTCTATGTCATAATTGGGTAATAATTAATTAGGCTGAAAAAAAATTAAATTGCCATTATTATGGCTTTAAGCTAAACCTTTTTTTAGGATTACAAGAAAAAACTGCATTAAAATTGTCTGGCGTACAGATAAAATGAGTTTGACATGCTTTAATAAATTATCTTTGAATACAACATTTAAAATGGAAAATCTGGATTATGGTTTATAAAACCGAATTTTGTTGTTAAAATGTTTCTTTGGTTCTCCCATATGTTACACATTGTAAACATTAAAGTCATTTCATCCACATTGTGATATCTGCCACAAGATATTACCTATTTCTAATGCTTGTAAATAAACTACAATTATGTTAAATTGAAGGGGAAGGACATTGTCCTGTTTCTAGTATTTTTCTGTACAGCAATTCCTTGTCACAACGCCCACTTCACTGGCATATGGAAAATTAAAGGACCTTGTGGGGCGTATACGTAATTTAAAAACGTTTAAAATGTCATTAACAAATTGCGCGGCCATATCATTTGATAATGTGTCCCCATGCTTTTGAGATTGCGTGCATTTGAGTTGATTATCGGTAATGGGATGGTAGAAATTAGAAAGGTGGGGCAACTGCCAGGAAGTTCAGTGCACCCAAAAGATGGAGATCCTGAGCCTTATTTCGAGTGCCTATCCGCTCACATTTTAATGTAGTTAAAACGTCAATCAAAACGTATAGAGAGAACAGGGAACTTTGTGACCCATTGGATTGACTGCCATTCAAAACTATATCAAAAAGCGACTGACAAACTGTTTGACAGACTGCCTGATTGACTGTCCAGACAGCCGAACATTCATCCTGCCATCGAGTCGGCGAAGTGACTGAACTCCGGCACTGTAAAGTCCTGCGAGTCCTGACTGAACCCAGCGAACATGGACAGCAAACATTTCAATCGGATTTCGAGCAATTCCAATTCAGATTCGCACACCCACTCACACACACACACACAAACAATTTGCATAAAAGGGAAAAAGAAGGATCGGAACAAGGCAAACATTTATGCCCCACACACGCAGCCAAAGATACACATTCAAACACACACACACACACACACTCTTCCATGGCAGCCATTTCCGTTTCCGCACGTTTGACGTTGGCAAACGCAGACAAAATAGTCGAGAAAAAAGTAAAACCCAAAATCAGGGGCGGCAGTCGAAAACATGAAACATGCAAAATGAAGTTTGAATCGCGGGGAACAGGCCAAAAACCAAAGCCAAACAGCAAAAAGGTTGGTCTATAGCTCCCCCTTCCTCCCCCTCTTATTACTCCACACCTTTCCCGCCATTTTGTTTGCCTTGTCACTTGGTTTTTTAGGCAGTTGCATTTTAAGGCCAACAACAGGTCGATGAGGTAAATCATCAACCTGTGGCGTCTCTCGCCCTTAAAAGTTCCTTAGATGTCACGTTCTCGTGTTGGTTTTGCCCTCCTCGGGTATTTGCATAATATTTGCACAAATAATTGAATTTATTTTTTGCTCGTGTGCTGCTTGTGCGCTACCCGCTAAATTGTTTTGGGTAAATTTCGGCTTATGTCGTATGCAGACAGAGTTTGTTTTGGTAATGCAAAGACCCATTTTTTTTACGTCGAGCGCCTGCAATTGAGGTTTTTTCGAAGTTTTTTATCGTAGTTAAGTTAAATGTTAAACTTGCCATGAAATTGAATGTTCACAAGGTGGAAAGATTGTAGTGGAGTAAAGGTAAACAGGGGATTGCTGGATATTGTGCGGTAATGATAAGTGTGTCTGGCTGAAAGTGTCTAGAGATTTTTAAAGACATTTTCTGTTTAACTGTTACATTTTTTTATGAACTTAATGAGTGAATTAATGAAATGCATACATTTCTTTACTAAAACAAATTTAAATTAAATAAATTAATCAGAATTTGAATCTTGTAAGAAATAGAATTGCCGAATATAAGCAATTTATTTTACTTTTCTTGTTTAAATGGGGAATGCATTAATAATTCATGACGTATCTGAGCTCTAACGAAATAAGATCCGGAAACTGTTTGGTCAACTCCTTAGCTCCATCAGTCAACTTAATGAATGCCGCCCTTCTGGAGCTGGCAAACAATTTTCGTTCTCATTGCCACTGCGATTCGAATTCATCACCAGTCGCAGTCGAATGAGTTCGCAGCGGGCTTATGGCCCCAAAGGATTTAACAAAATGCGGCCACTTATCAAATCAATGCGCTCGGCGGATCCTTTGGATCCTTTGCTCCTTGAGAACGGCAAATCGCAACTGCAACTGCAGCTTGTGCAATAAATGCGTTCATTTAACATGAAACGCAAGTCGCAAGCTGCAAGTATTGAAATGAAATGTGGCCTGCTTCAGAACGCTTAAAAGCGACAAATTCGCTTTGTGTCAGCGGAGTAAGTCAAGACGGCGAGGAGTTGCTCGCTGGCCCAATGTTGCTCATACGCCACGTTGCACTTATTTCATTCAGCTGCAGCCACACAGCATCTGAGACTGTCTGCCAGGATCTGGTCTTGGGTCTTAGCTCTCGGGTAATGCACTGCACCACTCAGCACACACACATACACACACATATACGCATCTTGGCATCCTGGCATCCTGGCATCCTTGCAGTCCTGCATCCTTTTCTCCAAGTCAGCGACTTAGCGCGTTGACTTAACTTGGCAGGGATTTACGACAACGCTCCACGGAGCTCGAATAACATGGAGCCTTGTCAGCTTGCTGCCTCCTCTTTCGTCCTTCGTCCCTTTGCCCCTCCTAATTCCTTCCCTTTTTTATTCCAACCACCCACCTCGTCCACCTCCTCCTTTATTAAGTTGAAATAGACGCAGGCTAAATAAATCCATGTCGCTTAAGTCGAAGCTGACGTTGTCATGTGTGTGCGATTGTATGTGCCGCCGGAAAATGCTGGAAAAGCTGCTGAGCGTATGTATGTTATTCATGTATTTCATTGCCTGGCATTTAAGTTGAACGCTGATGCATCGTGCAGTGTGCATAATTAAAACGAACACTGTACAGTGGAGTCTGGTAGGGTAGTAAAAAAATGGAAGGATGAATGCCGGAGAGAGATAGTCAGTTGGCTAATTAAAGCAGTCTCTGCGGGGACACTTATTCTTATCTTTCCCTAAAATATTATGGTATTATATTAAGTGAGATTAAACCATTCTGGCAAGCAATTATTTAGTTCACGAGCAAATCGTAAAAGAACACGAGTTTCACTCCTCAAGTAATATTGCTGCATTAAAAAAGAGTTTATTAAAATTAGATTTTTAAGGAATTTAATGGAAAATTAAAAAAGTGAATAGTTATTATATTGAAGTAGGGTAATTCTTTTGATTTTCCTCATCTTAACTAAATAGCAATGAAGATAGAAAATATTTTTAAAACATTTTCATAAAATTTTTCCCCGGTGAATTAAAGCATCCTTGTTTTCCTCCATTGCAGAGCCTTCGTGGACAACACCCACCTGCAGACGCTGCACCTGAACAACAATCCCCAGCTGGGCGACATTCCGATGCGCCTGTTCCAGGGCAACCCCAACATCCTGGAGGTCTACATGCAGAGCAACAGCCTGCAGACATTGTACTCCGCCCAGTTCCCGGTTGACCAGCTGCAGAAGCTCTACCTCGGCGACAATCCCCTCCAGTGCAACTGCTCGTTGCTGTGGCTCTGGCGCCTCGTCACCGGCAACTTCGAGGGCGTGGATCCGGGAATGGAACATGCAGCTGGTGGAGCAGTGGCCGCTTTGGCCAAGGAAGCCGACGAGGAGGAACTGGCGGATGAGGCAACCGCCGTGGCATCCACCGATGATGGAGTGGCTGCCTTGGCCGCCTACATTGCCGAGCAGCACATAGTGAATGCCCTGCACACCACCGAACCCAGTGCCTACGAGCTGGCCACCTCGTCCTCCAGCCGGAACTCGGGAATCCTGCGGATGGATCGCCAGCAAATCGGTTGCGATATCTGGCGGGATAAGGTGCGAACGCGGCGACAACTGCTCTCGATGAGCGAGGGCGAGATCACCTGCCCCGCCCACATTGTGACCGTGGTGTGTGCGGTGATCACCTGCCTCCTGGTGGCCATGATCGGCGTGAGTGTGCTCTACTACCTGCGGTTCGTCAAACGCCGACGGAAGTTGCTCCACGAACGAGGTCCCCTGCGAACCAGCAAGTCCATCATCAATGTCCACGATCGCATCCTGCAGGGTCACAACCCCGGAGGAATGGGTATGGGAATGGGCATGAGCATGACCTTGGGCGGTGGGAACCATGTCAACGGACTGGGCATGACCCTCAACTATCCGCATCATGCGCAAACCCTGCAGGCCCACCATCACTACCACCAGGCGATGCCGCTCCAGTCGCACGGTGGAAATGGCGGCCACGAATACCAGCAGACTACTCTGCCGCAACTGGATAAACTCGAACTGGAGCGGTACTTGGCAGCTCAAACGATTGCCAATGAGTACAGAGCGCTGAAGCCATGGGAACTTCCCGTCAAAGAGGCGGATGACGAGCCGGAGCATTTGTATGAGCGATTCGATCACTACGAGTATCCGGATACCCACACCATGAGCAAGCTGAAACAGGCGGCTGCCTTGAATATTAACTCCACCTCCTCATCGGCAGGACCTTCGCCGGTGCCGCCCTCGGCGGGCAAACCCCACGTGGTCTACGTATGACGTGGGCGTGGCAAGGGCGGCCGAGGAAACCAGATGAACTCGGAGGCGGACATGGAAATGGTCGGACTGAACCACCACCATCAACATCACAACAATAACAACAACTATAGGGGCTGTGTACAGAGCGGCAAGGCCAGTGGTCAGTTCTGAGTTGGCTAAACCATGGGGGTTTGCTCAACCGAAAAACAGGGAAAGTGAGAGTTTAGGTTAAGGAGATTTGGGGAGAGATATAGTAAGGATAGAGCCACTGAAAATGAGAGCTTTTAGCAGGAAAATTCGATGATTAACTACCTTATATTTCAAACAAAAAGATCTAATAAATAATTTCACATGATTTTTATTTTACCACTGTCTAAAGGAAGTCATCGAATTTATCTGCTAATTGCACCCAAAGTATTTAGGTTGCATTACAATTTTTTTTCGAATAAAAACAACAAAGTTTAACAAGCGTCAAATGAAACAAGGGATATGTCTACGTGTATAGCAAGCATACAAATACTCTTAATGACCTATGAATAACAGATATATAATATTAGAAGTGTATACTAACCGCTAAACTAAGAGAAGAATACGATTTCAAAGAAACCCTTTTGCTGGCCCCAAACTAAGCTAAGCTGCATTCAAATCTCACACACTCTTTCTCTCCCACTCATAGTTAAAATGGCATTTAGCATTCGAATACTCTAGATAGCATCTAGCGAGTAAGCAACTTACAAGTGAATTTAAATATATATATGGATATATATTAGGTATAACGATGAAGTGCAAGCTAAAGAAGTTCACGGGTTTTTCTTGATTGGATTCACGAAATAAGCGATTATGATATCAGCACTTGGGTTAAATGGAGAAAAGGACACAGACTTTGGCAGAAAATAAAACCTAAAGGGGACCAAATTGTCCAGTCCAGCCTAGAACTAACTGAATGAATCCAACTGCCGAAGAGGTCCTTTTCACATCCAATATCCCGCTGAGCCATATTCCCAAGTTTCCTAACTTTAGCGAGCATCTCGAATGACAATATACAAACATTAAGGGGAAAACTAAAAACCTAAATTATAACTTCTACATTAACTTATCTTAGAGAGCCACAACTAAAAGTTATAATAAAATAAATATAATTTGTAAATATCCCCTGATGGGAAAGCACTCAGAAAAGTGTTTGTACGTTTAATGTAAATAATTTATGGAATGCATTTAAAAACTTTAGTCAAGTGCATAGATTATTTATTTAAGAATAAATGATTTCCAAAAAGCAATAACTCAAAATAAAAGCTCGTTTGTTGTTATTTTTCGGTTGAGTTTGATTTGCGAATAATAATTTAATTAAATGCGACAACAGCATGGCAAATAGCGAGCAAAACTAACCGGTATTTGCATAAAATAGCCACACCGAGCACACAAAAAGCAAGTGTAAAAATATTTCGAAAATAAAAAGTATATGCGTGTGTACTAAATAAGCAAAATCAAAAGGCAGACAAGCAATGCACGAAATGCATTTAGAAAAACATACAGAAAATAAAATCTGAATATAAATAAAAACCAGTTTGTGTATAAAAGGAGCAAAACGAGAAAGCAAGGGAAATGGCAAATAAAAGCCAGGCAAACGTAAGTTTAAATCTAATAATATGATGTACGCAAAAATATTTAATTAAATGATAGACACACCCACAGCAAAAACAAGAACAAAAAAATGTTATTTCTTATACGAAGACTGAAGAAAATGATGAAGCGAAATAAAAAAACAAAAAATTAAAAACTGACTTTTGCTCTAATCAACTGAATGTAAAGGATACAAAGTGGCAGCCAGCAACTTTGTGTGCAGGTTGTAATAAATTAGAGATTTTCCTAGATGAAATCCCCCTGGGTTTTCCCATTTTTTTCAGCTGGCATAAAATACGACAAATTCGTTGGGCAGCAAAGAAAACCAAGCTGAAATCCATGTAAAACAAATAAAATACTTGTATATCCTGGCAAAGGGAGTGGCCCCAGTAAACTGTAGCCGCAACTGCAGGAAGAAACGGCATAAATCTAGTGCCGAAACAAGTGCTCGGCAAACACACTCGCCCACATAAGTAAGTCACCCAAAACGCCTACAGGACAAAGGCAAAAAATAACAGGGGGTGGTGCAAAAATGTAGCTCAGTAAACCAAAGTAAGTAAAATATTTACTGCCCAGTCAATTGTGCGGAATTGTTGGTTTGCACTAAAGCTGTTAAAGCCTGTTGAAGGGATACAATTTAAGCTGGATCTAGAAATGTTTTCTCACTGGGGAGAAAATAATATCGAAACAAAACTGAAAGGAGAGAAATACTGTTGGTAGGTTTTGAGAACAACAATCCCTGGAACTTGCAAGCTTTTAGAATGTAGACCTAGTTTTGATGAACAATTTCAATGGTAGTTTTAAAAGCACTATCTTGTGCCTGAATAATCTTTCTTACGCTGCGTAGGATCGACTTTTTTAATAAACTTGATGAAGAAAATGAACCTTCTTTATATAAATTATAAGAAACGTATGTAACGGATTTAATAACCTACTATATACATTTTTTTATCCACACCACTTCCTCAAACATTTATCTCAGTGCTGTGACTACAAGGGAAAACGTAATGGTAAAACAATTATTAACTCACTTCCTAGCACAAATAAAAAATGCGGAACAACAAAAGCGCAAACAACAAAAAGACAGAAGAATTAGGTAAATAAATCTGGATGCTTTCTAAATAATTAACATGCCGGGAGCTCACTTTCATTTAAACTGGGTCCCCGCCACTCATTGAGTTGTTCAACTCAACGCGCGGCTTAGACGGCGACAAATCCCCCGTGTCTGCGTTTGAATGATTGTGGGGCATTTGTTGTGGCATGAAATATAACCACCCAACATCCGACAACCACCCACATTTTACCTCCCACTTAACCACCCGGCGAACCACCCCCTGAAAATCCCACCGAATCGAGGAAACACCTGAGTCTGCGTCTCGAGAGTCTCATGGGTGTAGGCGTGTGAATAATGGCGAGTAATTAATATTTCGACATTATTCTTCTCAACGCAAAAGGAAGAGGCAGACATCGCTGTGCGTTCGTTTAATTAGCTCGGAAAATGTTTCGGAAAAACTTACGCATAAGTCATAAAGTGCAGGAAATCGAAGGATGAGTGTGTTCCATTAAATGCAGCTAGCCATCTGAATAACGATTTCAGTGGCATTTTAATTGCCCGAGCCAAATGAAATTTCGCTATAGAGTTGCCATTAAGGAGATCCGGAGATCCTGCCGAAGATGCCAGATAAACACTCTCAGGCGAACATAAAAACTTAATGTCCTGCAATTTGTTAAAAGATGCGCAAACTGCCCAATAAAATAAAACCGAGACGCTGGCTTTAATGTGATTGCAAAGATTGTGTGGCCAAAATCGGGGACCCCACTTCAGCTAATTGTTTGCGTGCATTTTGAGGATGCGGGTCCAACAGCTGTGTCCACAGGACACACTTTGTTTGCACTCTGGACAAGGAGATTGGCTCAAATAGTGGTCGAGACACAAACGTGTGTGTAAATAACTCCTGCACTATGATAAATCAAAGTCACTTAGCGTTGACGTCGATTTGAAATTCACTTACAGCCCCGCAGAATGTCAAAGAACTGACCAAACAAAGGTCTCAAAAAAAGAAAGGAAAGGGAAAGAGGAAAATCCAAGGACTTATCATTTATATCAATTTAAATAACGAGCAATGGATAGAAATGCCGTAAAAAGCGGAACCCCTAGGAAATGCGGAGATGGATGGTCGGACGAGGCATTGACAGTTGTAAGCCATAAACCACAGAAAATTGGGCGTTTGTATTAGTTAAGATGCTGTCAAGCCAAAAGGATATTCCGGTCTTGAGGGCAAGGGACAGCCCATCGTGCAGACATATCGCTTTCAACACGGGGCTAAAACGTTGAGGGTGTGGGAGATAATCGGGCGGACAGGAGTATTCCGTAACCGGCACTAAAACACCGTTTGACAGCCAACGAAAGCCGAGAGCCACAAGTTAAGGAGGGGAAAGCCCCAACATTGAAACCGAGACAGAGGAAAAGTGACCAGCAGATAAGCAAACGCATTCATCTTAGGGAAAAACGTTGGGAAAGGGATAAGCGCAAGCCGGCTTGGTCAAGGAAATCCCTATAAAGTTAAACAAAAGTTGGACACACATATTAAGGGGCTTAAAGTGTGGCCAGAAACCTAAAACAAGGAACTTATCTTGACAGCTGGACTGGGCACTTAACCAGGTTACCCGCAAAATACACCTATATATCTTGATCAATTTGGCCAGCGAAACGAAGGAAAAAACTTAAATCATAGCCAGCTTTTGTTCAGCTCTCCAACCTGGTTTCTGTTGCCCTTTTTTTCCCCCGGTTCCGTATTTGCGGGCTTTGTCTGCGCCACTTTGCTTATCTTGGCCACACTTTTTATTGGTCGCCTTTATTTGGCATGACGTCCCCCATATTTTACCAAATAACAGCAGCTGAGATAAGTGGCAAGCGGAAGGACGTGCGAATTAGTTATGGCTTGGGGAAAAAGTGGTTATAAAAGGATTCGGAAAGGATTCAGAAAGTGAGAGTTGCAACGCAACAAAAGAGAAAACTAACAACGGCAGAATTTAAGACAAACATCTAAAACATTTTCTCTTAATAGTTACGACTTAAAATTTTTTTTAACTATTTGCATGATATGCGGTAGCAATAACTATTTCGATTCCGACTCCACTTATCCAACTGTCAGCAAATATAATTCCAAAATATTTATACGACGCAATAAATTACATTCCCAATTTAATAATCTCCATTTCCAACAAGAAAAATTATAGCTCTATCAAAAATTATCGCAGCAATTTTTCAAGCAACAAAATGGCAAAAATCAAAATTTCATTGCCACCGCAAAAATCAAATTTCCAGAACTTGCAAAGTGCGAGGTTGTGCTTGTCGAACATTTTTCTTCGCTTTATGGAAAATTCGGGTTTTCCCTGGGATGTTTTCAAACATGACACCTGAAACTTTGGCATACAAATTTATGAAAATATTTGCACATCAATTTTACAGCTCGAAGGATGGGAAGCCAACACCTTTTGGCTTCATTGAACTTGCAGCTTCGCATTACACAATGGCAAAGGAGGAGTCTCTTACCCCAGTACACATGCAAATATGTACGTATAAACTGAATCAATTTTTACCGCGATAAACTTCGGCTACACCTTCTGCAGGAAAAAATCGGAAGAAGGAGCAGGGAATTTTACGGCGCTGAGGTAACTGCAAAATGTTGTGTAAAATTTGCAAATGCAATAAATAACTCGTTTCGTTGTAAAAAAAAAAGGGGTTTGCTTTTGCTGTTTACACCCCCTTACAAAGCCATGTAGCTTCTTCTTTTTTTATTTCATTCCTGTACTCCGTTTTTGCTCCTGTTTAGGGTATTCATCCCCCCTTAAAGCCAAAAGCGCGCCACATGTGCGAGTCTGCTTGTAGTTCCTGTGGGTTCTTCCTTTTTTGGTTGGGATACTCTATAAAAAAGAGTTTTAAAAAATGATTGTTGCTTTTGATACAATATCCTTGATTTGCAATATAACGTTTTGAAATAATAGATTAAACACCATATACATCAAAAAATGGAAATAACTAAGGAAGAACAATGGTTTACTTTCTTCAGTAAAATAATTTAGTGAAAGAAAGCTTTTAATTGAAATATGTAGTTATTTTGTATACAAGTCGTATATGGAATACAAAAAAGGTAAAATTTAGCAAGGGTATTTCATGTGTCTGCAGAGAAGTATTCTGATTTCTAACTTCATTTTTTGAGTTCCCTTTTTCCCTTTTTGTTTCGCTCTGCGTGTTTTTTGGTGTGGCGGAAAGCATCCCCGAAAGTATGCAAATAATTTTTGGCTCCAACTCATATTTGATATTCAGTGTCAGTTGCTCGAAAGGGTTACCGAATACAAGTTATTGAAATTTGCATGCAACGGGGAGGCGGGTGATAAAGGGGAAGTGGCAGGCGAAACAGCAGGCGTTGTTGAGGCAATTTATAGCACTTGTGTTTTTCTGGGGGGCTTGCTGGAGGCAAACTTCTCGGTTATTGTTTAGCCGTATAAAAGGGAACTTGGATTCTCAGCCCCAAAGGACGTAATTGTTTCGCATTCCTTCGGTTTGATTATGTTCCCTTGATTTTTTGGTTGCCGAGTTTTCAACTTCGCTGCGATTTCTCCCTTAAATGCAGATACCCAATTAAGCTTTGGCCCGGTTCAACGCTTTGCCATCCATCAGGATTCGGATGCGGCACTCAAAAGTTACCATCGCAACGCCAACCGCACAGCAACAACCAAAAAAGGGAATAAAAAACTGGGCAAATCCCTGAAAATCGCAAAAACTACGCTAATAACATTGTCATATGGCGGGGGTGATGATGATTTTTTTTTTTTTTTTTTTTGTTGGCTCTTTTGGCACTAAACTTCGCTTATCAAAGTTGAAATTGCAGTTCGGCGGTGCGCGCGCATTGGGGATTTGCTGGCCACTCGAAAACTCCGAGTGCGAGGCATTTATGGTGCGGCTGGGATAAGGGATTTCATTTGAAACTCTGATACGAGCAATCGGCGTTTTATTTGCCGTTTTTCGCCCGCCAAGTTTCGTCATCATACGCCACTGACCCAGTTCAGACATTTATCACAACGGCACACACAGATCCCGGCGATTGTCCTGAGGGTCTAACCCCAGCACAATGAATGACCTCCTCATATCCCTTTCCATTCCGCTCCTTTCCTTTCCCATTCTACTCGACAGACTGCTGACTAAGTGGACTTTTATTTCACTGATAGTTCGGCCCTCGCTGCGTATACGCAATAAATAGTTTCGCCGGCAAGTTTAACGTTCTTTTTTTGGATCGCACACGCTGGCCATCTGCAGTTGTTAAGCAATTTAGTTTCAGATGGGTCTGTTAAAGTTAAAGAGCTACAATCTGAATATTTTTCAGACACACTCTGAATCACAATCATTGTTTAGCACAGATAACTGCTGTCTTCCCTGGGGGCTTCCATTCATAAATTCAAATCAATAATCCGTTGCCTATCGCTTATCTGCTGGTTCTTCACCCTGAAAACGTCATTGATGACGTCATATAAAATCTTTTTAAATATACTAATAAATTCTATGATTCGAACAAGCGCCGATTCGACATGGAAATTTCACAGAGATAAGACTATCTACAATTTACTCTGCTTTCCAGTTGTTTGAGTTAAGAATGTTGATTTCAGTAGACGAGCGGCACTCAAGCGAATACGATCACTATGAGCTTTCAAAACTTCTTTGTCGTTTTGCTACTTTCATTGGTAAGATTGGAAAATATTAATTTTATAAAGTGATATAAAGTATGGTTCAAAATAAATAATTTACTTTTCCTTATTTCATTTTTGATTTGTTTTTTTTTTATTTCAGCTTACTCCCTCAGCTATAAAATGCTCTGGAGATCACAATCGCCTCCGGTTGTATTCGCAGTCAGATCAAGCCTTACAAACCATAAGCAATCAGTTGATTTTACAGGCCGTTGAACTGGTTGATAATGTGGTGGAAGATCTTCTCGTCTTGAATTCCCAGAACCCGATTATCCTCGGCTATTTGGATCGATTTGATGCCTTTACAGCCATTAATGTGAATCACACAGAGCAGAAGCTGAATTCCTTTTACGGCGTCATTGAGGAATATCTCGATTTGGATACCAACGGCGATCCATTGAAAGCCTCCACAATTGAGAACCAGTTGATTTCCCTGTGCCTCCAACGCAGTGGATTCGATCGATGGAAGCGGACTGTTCAAACCCGAACTGTTCAAGTTCAGAAGTTTATTTACAAAAAGTTGAGGAGATATCTGGACTCTGTCGACAGGGAAAATCGAGTTGCAGTGGAACGCAGGTGGAAAAGAATCTCAACTCGTGGTGGACCTCGAAGATTGGAAAAGCTTAAGGAGTTTGTTAAATGGCTGGGCAATTAAACTTAGAGGCTAAGAGAGAAAGCATTAAGTGGTAAGGAATGTAATTAACTTTATTTATGAATGTATAAATATGCAAGCAAACTTTCTATGTATTATTAAATAATAATTAACCTCGAGTTTCAATGAAAAGCAGTTCACTATTTCCGGAAAATTAAGATTTAAAAAAATTCTCTGTGAGAAGCAAATGCATCCTCTATTTTCTTACCTCCCCCAGATAAATGCAATTTTAGCATTGCACGTTCCCCTTCGCATCACTCAGATCATGTATGCGAGCTTTGTTTAATGCACTTCACAGCTGGAGGAAACTTTTTGCAGCCCCTGTGTGTCGACGGCAATGAAAACTTTGTCATGCCCCGCAAAAAGGATGATAAACTTGGGTAAAAATTATGAAACTGAATATGGAAGCGTTGGCGAAATTGAGACAGCAAAACAACAGAACTGACAGAACCGACAGAGCAGACGGGCAGAAGACATACTAGACCCGTAGCCATGTGAGAACTAAAACTGAAACTAAAACTGATACTTTTTATGGAACGGCAAGTGAAAAATGTAGACAGTTGGCCAACGACTTTACGGGGGGGAAAAAGGGAGTCAGGGAGGTAGGTGAACGGGATTTGCAGGGATAAAAGAAAAATGGCAACTGCATTTCCTGTCTGAGAGCTGACAAAGTGCTGAGTGCATTTACGACTTGGACTTGGACGGGTGTTTTGTGTCTTTTCTGCAGCTGCAGAAGATGCCCGGAATTTATGCACTCAGTCCACAGAGGGAACTGTGCAAATTCCTGCCCTGGGGCATTTTCTCTGTGGCCTGCAGCATTCCCTTTGTGCCATCTGATAATCGTCCCCAGCTGTGGCTAATCGGTTTACATTTGTCATACTGGCACTCTTGCCAGAGATTCCTAGAACAAAGTCCAGTTGATGGACTTGGCGAATAATGCCAAAGACCCTAACAGAATAATGCAAGTTATCGAGAAAATTGATGTTTCCTTTATTTGTCGAATTTAAAGAAGTGCCCATACGTTTCTATCAATGTCTAAAACTTACTTACTTTAAAAAAAGGGACTACAATTTTTTTTGTGAATTTTTTTGAACTGCATAATTTTAACAAGTACACAATTTGTAAGACTTTCGATACAAAAAATATACATTTATTAGGACAAATTTTAGCTTCGGCAAGCATCCAGGAAAACCTGCAGCACTTCTCAGGGATCTCTTTCCATAAAATCTTCACCTCGTCTGCAGCGGAAACACAGAAAGGACTTCATGCAACCGAATATGACAAGCAGAGCCATGCAAGTTAAACAGATAGCAATGATGCCCAAAATTACGAGAAATATAAACAAAAGACCCCAGAGGCCAATGCTTTTATAGGGTTCAAAGGTGGTTGTTCCCGGAGCCAAAACAGTACCATTGAAAATTAAATCGATCTCCTCGTCATCGTCGATAAATGAGAGACTCGTAGTCGCTTCCATTATGGTTTAAAACTCTAAAAATAAAATATTTTATTTGAAAGAAAGAGACAACGAACAAAGAATCAAGGCTTACTGCGGCTAGTTCCAGTTCATGACGATTAATAGATGCGGAATTTCATACGTGCCAAGACTTAAAAAGTTATTGTAACTCAAACAGATGGTTTTAATTTTTTTTATTTATAAGAGGATAGTCGCAGCTTACTGAAGTCAAGTTTAAATGTTGTCACAAGAAATATTTGAATGACGTTGTTTGTCAAACTAATTTATAACACATTTTGCATTATTTCCAATGAAACAAACGACTTTCAGAAGCCAATTTTATTAATATTTTTTATTAGACCATACTTTTGTCTGATTTTAAAATTGAATAAAGCCTAGACCTTTTGACAGAGGGGTCAAGTATATTTGAATGTTGTGCACACTAAATTTATTTCGTTGTTATAAAGAAAGCACTGTTTTACGTACATATGATCACTTGATTCACTCAATCATCAGTCATCGCCCAAATCTCCGCAGAGTCCCCCCGCCTGCGCAGCAATCGTCGCCACAGCAATCGTCGCCACCATCGCCGCAACATCCCCCGCCCTCGCCGCAACAACCCCCCTCTTCGCCGCAACATCCGTCGCCGCAGGCAAAGCAGGCGGAGCAGGCCAGTCCGCAGCAGCCGCAGAGGCAGAGGAGCGGCAGGCAGATGATGACCAGGCAGCACAGGAGCGCGAGGAACACGATCAGCATGATGATCCCGGCACCCATGCTGCCCGAAGGCTTTGCCGTGGTGGTGGTGGCAATGGTGGTGCTGACGGTCTCTGCAAAGTTCGTCACGTAGTCCGTAGCCTCTGCTTCAGCCATTGTGGATAGTTCTTGCTAATGTGGTTTTTAGTATACTTAATAAATACTTCTCAAGAGCTACTAAATTTTGGACTTAAGTCCAAGGCATACTGTAGTATTTGACGATACTTTACTTAAAAGGATTCAGTTTCCACTTTAAATATTTTTATATGTTAACTTTTTAAACCGTTTTTATATAATTATTACAGCTATATTGAACATTTTTTCGTTTTGAACATTACATTCTTCTGTATTTAAATTAAATATAAATAGTATAAAATATGTTTTATTTGATGTAAAGAAGTTCAAACCGGAAGTGCATTCGCCACTCCTTTGAGGGTTGCCACATCAAGTGACTTCTAACGATCTTCTCAATTCGAAATCCTTCGCACAAAAGTGCTCATTAAACGCACGCACACGCCCTCGCACATACAATGCCCAGTCGAATTGTATAAAAATTAATGAAATGCATTAACGAAAGCATTTCTGAAGGGGGTGGGAAATGTTGGGAAAGAGGGTGGGAAAATGGGTTTGGGGGAGGGGCAGTCCTCGAACAGGGACCTGTCCCTGAGCTCCTGAGTGTACCTGCGCTCGTTAGCGCTTCATACACCCACTCTGGCAACCCCATTCCCTCATCCTCACCCACATACACACACGCACATGTGTAAAACACACTCTCGCCTCTCGTCATCATTATCATAATTTGAATGTGATGCGAGCTTTAAAATATTCATGCGAGTATAACGATTTTTTTTCAAGTGTCCGCACGTGTGCGCTTGGGTTCGTTACACGGTGGCGTTTACTGTACCAAGAGGATCTCGCACTTAGGGGTGGTCGTTGATTATAATGACTGTATTTTGTGTGCTGATTACTCCACAGAGAAAATTAAGACAAAGAGTCAACAACTAAATAAGATAAACATGGGGGAACAATTTATATATTTGAACGCCGAGGTCTTAATTCTATAAATTTGTTTATATTAACAGTACTCTTCACTTGATGGAAAACATTATCTGGATAATGTATCAATTAAGCTTAACCATCCCAAAATTTTTAAGTATTTTAGCATAGTCGTAAATACTGTTCCAAAAAGCAGACTTAAAGATAAACTTTTCCCTTACCAAATTTCACTTTCTGCTTACCCAAAAATAGGTTTACAAATGATGGTAAATAAAATCTTTATGAAATGCCTCCCAATCCCAAATCATTGATTGCAATTGGAACCATTAGACACGTTTGTCAGCCAATTGGCGGGCAGCATTGAAAGCACATTCAATTCACTGCCTGACACGCACACAATCGCACTGTCACCCACACAGTCGCGACTCACCCCAGCGGGAAAGTGAGAAGTAGGTTTTTAGAAGTAGGTTTTCGGTTTTAAGTCTACTGGAAATCCTGCTGCTTTTAGCAGGCGTAGGGGTAGGAGTTGAAAATTTCGGTCCGCTAAATAAGGGTGGGTTTCTGAAACCTGTGGATTTTTACATAGAAACCTCCTTTACCCCTTCCTTTTGTGTGTCACCCCCGTGTATTTTGAAAGGAGAGACAGCAAAAATGTAAGGGGTGAAGGAGGTTTTTGCCCTTCCGCTTGTATGAAGAAATCTCTGGAAAATAGCATATCTTCCACATCTCTTTTCCCGCTGGGACACCACGATAGTCGCACATACAGCACACACCTTTAACTCTCAGAATCATGGCACACGTGGCTGCATGTCAAAGTGCAAAGTTTTGTGCCACACAAAAAAAAAAGCGGCGGAGGGTGGCAATGGGGGTAATGGCAGTCAAAAGCGCCGCTTCTCGATGTTTTCAAAAAAAAAAAGAAAATAATAAAATCGTTGAGGGAAAAACAGGAAAAAAGTTACCTTTTCCGCCGGCGTTGTTGTTGGCAACCCTTTTAGCTCTGGCAATTTAAACTCGACTGCTCCAAACTTGCCCACTTTCCATATCCTGTCGCTGCCAATGTCCTTGTTGTTGCTGCGGTGGCTGTAGTTGCCGCATCCTTTAAGGACGAGGATTGAGGATTGAGGGCTAAACGCGTGGCAGGCAATGCGCGAATGCACAAAGTCAACTTGCACATTAGAATTCGACAAGGAATAAAGGCGCGGATTGAAAGGCATAGCAAGCAAGTTAGTTTAGACGAAAGGTTATCTAGTAATCTTTAAATAATAAAAAATTGTACCTTTATTTTATGATTTATTTAATTTCTTCTAAAAAAAAACATATTTTAAAACTACTTTTTTTTAACAAAAACACGGAGTTTAGTGTAAGACAACTTCTTTGGGAAACTACAACCTCTTCTTAAATTTTTTCTTGAAATCGGGCTATCTTAAACGGTGAGATCTACGTCCCCAGAGGCAAACATTTCCCCGCACAATTTATGTATGTATATTCCCAACCAATCATCATCATCATCAGGAATAAACGCAATGGCAATGATCATGTTCGTATTCCGCCATCATCGCATTCATTGGCACTCAACGGAGGCAGCGAATTGCAATCGTAAACTTGATTGTAATAGTATAATTTTTGGCGTAAAAGCCAAACAAATAAACAAGACAAGGTCTTCGGACCCCGGCTGTCCCATCCGCCGGATAATCCCCGCACATATGAGTCAGTGGAAGTATCGGCCGAATTTCCTGCCCCCATTTTCATGCAATTTTTATGACTTGGCTCTATTCGCTGTTCTTTATTTTTTTCGGGGGGCAAGACGAGAGAATCTCACTCATAATCCGCCCCAATGGACCTTTCCCTGGAAGGCTGCAAAACCATTTACTTTTTTCCTATCCAGAATCTTGGCTTTTCCCTATTTCCCTTACTGTTTTCCCTGCTTACCACGTCACGCATGCTGCGGAAAGATATTGTTATCCTTTTGTTTTAGTGCGCATCTTTTATACTCGTTTCGTTTTTCTCCTGGTCTTATTGCCTTGGCTGGCCCTTTCGCATTGATTCATAAAACATAAATATAAATATTGCGTATACGCAGCGTTTGCCTTGCCCTCGATTGCCATAAATTCTTATAAGCGCGGCAGGAACACACACCAGCACACACATTGCAAAGCCCCAGCGCCAAAGTCATCAATCTTTCACCATTTCACTTAGATAAAGCAAACTTGTACTCCCTGGCTTCCCTTCATTCTCCCTCCTTCAATATTTGTGCATAAATATTAATATTGCATGACCATTTTTATTTGTTTGCCGGCCGGACAGGATCTCGGACTATCTTTAGCCAGAATCGATAAGAAGCTGTGATTACCGGCAGATATAAAATGATTTTGAATTCAGTGAATATGAATTTGTTTTTATTTTTCTTCGTATAAGATATTTGTGTAATCTTTTTATACCCTTGCAGAGGGTATTATAATTTCAGTCAGAAGTTTGCCTTCATTTATTTAGGGTGGTTTAATTTCTATTGTCTTACGATTTTACTTGCAACGACTAATACATACATTCCTCTCAAATCTCATGAAATTATAACTTATTTTAGTTACTTATTTTTTCTGCTAATTTAACTTTTTTAAGCCCAAAGGAATAATTCGAGTTTGCGAAAAGATATTGATTACATTTACACATAATGCCTCAATGGCATACGACTATAAATGACTTAATTTATTTTCTCGTTGCTGAAACGAAATGATTAGCTTTCTCCAGTAAGTTCGCGCTGATTTATGCGCCTAAATAATTAGCGCCTTTTAGGACCCATTAAATGAATTCCAAACAAGGCTCATAAAAGCCCATCAATCGCCCATTCCCCATTTGAGTTGCCAATCGGCCGATGGCTGTAATAAATTGAATGCTCCAATATTTGGGAACGGGGCCCATTGAATTTAAATATTTGCAATTACATTTAAATGTTTGGCCATGTGTGGATTTCGATTTCGGATCAAGTGGCTGAGTGGGAGGTGTCTGCGAAAATATCCTTATATTCTGGCCCTGTCTGCTCGCACATGCCAATAAATTTCGAGGCACAAAGTGTCAGCGCGGCCGAGCCCTCGTATTTGCATATATCCCCTTTTCTCCATATTGCAGGTCCTTTTTCTTTCCGCTACTTACAACAATATTATAATGGAATCTCACTTGAAAATAGAGCAATATCCACTTGCATATGTTGCCGCGGACATTTCGAGAATGAGACGACGCTATAAATATTATTGAATTGTTCCAGCCCCCCCAGTATTTCCCCCCATTTCGCTGCTCAAGTGTCCGCCCTTTGCTACAACAACAGAAACAGACGATGATTGCGGCAAGCGGATGTAAAAACCTTGGCAATGACAGTTTTTGGGCTCCGAACCGGTCTACGTCTGTTATGCAAATATCTTTATATATAAATATGTGTGCACGGAAGAAAAATATTGGAACTACTTTGAATAAGAAAAGCTTACCAAAAACAAAACGCCCTTAAATAAATGTTATATTTT